AAGGTCTTTAATCTATTTTTTTACACATAGCTTGTATATGCAATTAATTTTTTTATATGGTGGGAGGTAGAGTCCTACTTCATTGTTTTATGTGTGTCTGTTCAGTTGTTTTATCACTACTTCTTGAAAAGACTAATCTTATCCGGTTAAATAGTCTTGGCACCCTTGTCTCAAATTAGTTGACCATAGATGGGTGAGTTTATTTTTGGGATCTCAATTCTATTTCATTGATCTGTATCATTCTATATTCCCACACTGTCTTGATTACCATTGCTGTTTCCTAGGGCTACTGTAACAAAGTACTGCAAACTGGGTAGCTTATGGGAACAGAATTCATTGTCTCACAGTTTTGAGAGTCTGAGATCAGGGTATTGGCCAAATTCATTCCTTCTGACGCTTTAATGGAAAAACTCCTACCTTGGCTGGCAGCTGCAGTTACATCTCTATATATATCATCTCCTCTTTTATAAGAATAACCGTTACAGGAGTAAAACCCACTCTACTGGAGCATGACTTCATGTTAGCTTAACTGATAATATCTTCAAAGATCCTATTTCCAAACAGGGTCACATTCACAAATCTGGGGTTAGAATTTCAACATGTCTGTTTAAGAGACACAGTTCTTGAAATTGGGAAGTGTGAGTCCTCCTTTGTTCTTCTTCAAAATTATTTAAGCTATTCTGGGTCCCTTGCAATTCCATATGAATTTTAGAATCACTATGTCTATTTCTACAGAAGTCAGAAGAAATTGAACAGCTCATAAAAATATTACCAACAAAAAAAGTCCTGGTCCAGACGATTTTACTGGAGAATTCTACCAAACTTTCAGAGAAGAACTGACACCAATCCTACGCAAACTATTCTGGGACATAGAAAAGGATGCAATCCACCCAAATTCATTTTATGAAGCAAGTATAACCCTAATAATAAAACCAAGCAAAGACATCACTAAAAAGGAAAACTACAGACCAACGTATCCCTCATGAATATAGAAACAAAAATCTTCCACAAAGTCCTAGCCAATAGCCTCCAACAATATGTCAAAAAAAAAAAAAAAAAAAACAACATTATGACCAAGTGGGGTGCCTACCAGGTATGCAAGGATGGGTCAACATTAGAAAAACAATCAACGTAATCCATCACATAAGTAAAATAAAAACTACATGAGCATATCAGTCAATGCAGAAAAGACATTTGATAAAATCCAACACCCATTCCTGATAAAAACTCTCAGAAAAATAGTAATAGAAGGGAAATTCTTCAGCATAACAAAAGGCATATATACACAACCAACAGCCAACATTGTTCTCAGTGGAGAGAGACTGAAACCATTCCCCTTGTGAACAAGAACCAGATAAGGATGCCCTCTGTCACCACTTTTATTGAACATTGTATTGAAAGTCCTAGCCTAGGCAGTAAGGCAAGAAAGGGAAATCAAAAGCATGCGAATTGCTAAGGAAGAAGTAAAACCATCCCTATTTGCTGATATGATCCTATACATAGAAAACCAAAGAGACTTAGCAAGAAAACTACTGAAACTAGTTGAAAGATTTAGCATAGTGGCAGTATACAAGATAACAATGTTTTAGTGTGGTGTGCTATGCCAGTTGAACTTGATGTCCCCTAAGACCATGGTCCCAAGCTCATGTGCCCAGCAACTCATTCCCTCAGGGTGTTTGACTGTGGCTAAGAAATTACAACTTTGCCCTTTTAGCTCTAATATATGTATGGACTTTCTTATAGCACATACAGAAAAATACATATGTAGAAATATTGTCTGCCAAACTTATATATGGTCATAGATATATTCCCTTTTGCCTACCTATACCTAATCATTTATTATGTCTGCCTATATATATGAGTCGGGTTTGACTCGACGGCACATAACAACAACAACAACAACATATATCCACTGTAGATTAATGTTAGTTATTATTGATAATGCAGTACTATGTATGTAGAGGAGCTCTGGTAGCATAGTGCCTAAGGCACTTGACTGCTAACCAGAAGGCTAGCAGTTCAAACCTACCAGCCACTCCTCAGAAGGAAGATGAGGCAATCTATTTCTGTAGTGATACTGCCTCGAAACCCAAGGAGGGGTTGCTATGAGTCGGATCCAACTCAAAGGCACATAACAACAGCAAAAACAACATGTATGTGGAAGTGTTTATATTTGTTGTGCACCTCTTGTTGTCTTCCTTTTCCTAAGTGTTATTATTTTGATCACTAGCTTTTGGTATATTGCCTTTCCCTTCACTGAAATCATTACTTGTCTCTTACCTATCTAGCAGTTTTCCCCCTTTTCCCTTCTCAACCCCAGTACTAATAACAAAGAAAGTTTCCTTCCATGTATAAACCTTTCCTTGATTTTTTTATAAAAGTGGACTAATACAATATTTGTCCTTTTGTGATTGACTTATTTCACTCGGCATAATGTCCTCTAAGTTCATCCATGTTATGAGGTGTTTCGCAGATTCTACATTATTCCTTAGTGTTGCATAGTATTCCATTGTGTGTATGTACCATAGTTTGGTTATCTGTTCCTCTTTTGATAGACACTTAGGTTGTTTCCATCTCTTTGCTATTGTGAATAGTGCTGCGATGAACATGGGTGTACATGTATCTATTCATGAACACTTGCAATGTTTTAATGCCTGCCTTCTCCACTAGATTATAAGCTTCAGGAGAGCAGGAATTTTGTCTGTTTATTTAGTGCTATATCCTTAGCATTTAGAAAAGTGCTTAACATGTAGCAAGTGCTTAAAGTAACTGTTGACTGATAGTTGAGGAGGAGTTGGATAGAATAGATGTCAAGAAGGTCTCAAGAAATGTACCTGGATTATCTTGCTGGTGACTGAGTCACGTCAGCTTAAACTAGGTATGGTAATTACAAGAAAATTTAATTCATTTTATCAGAGGCACTGCTTACATAATTGCTTCTGCACAAATTAGGATCCCTGGTAGTACATTGGTTAAGTGCTTGGCTGCAAACCAAAACGTCATTGCTTTAAATCCACCAGCTGCTCCATAGGAGAGCAACATCCTTGGAAGCCCTATGAGGCAGGTTTCTATGATTAGGAATTGATTTGACTGCAGTGTTTGTTTGTTTTTTGTGGGGGGAAGTGGGGCTTTTCCTTATTCTCTGAAAACTTAACTAGTTAATGTAACTCACAATGTACCTGCAGACTTTGTAGGCATTTTGGTATTGCAGCACCTGGATTCATTTTCTTAATTTCTAGCTAAGCAAGAGAATTCTGTTCTTTGGAAAGAGAGAAGGTTTGGAAGATGCTATCACATATTTCTGCTTTTGTTTGATTTTGTGGGAAGGTGGCTGAAGCAAAGGGAATGATTCTCATCATTTCCTCTAGCCACCGAGCTGATGTTTTGATTTACTGTCTTGGTGATGCTAAAGTGGCAAGATCTAATTCAGATAGGTAAGAAACTATTTTTTAGAATTTTATAACTTTTGAAAACTGATCATATCACTAAGAAAAAGTAATAAAAGTAGGCTCATTGCCTTTGATTAGTAAATTTGTCAGAAAACTAAACCATTTGCTCATTTTTCTTTTTCTGAAATTAGAATATTTTTAAAGTAGTGAGCATTGTATCCATTCTTTATCATAATGGTGTAGTGTTTATCCACAAACAGAGCTTACATTTGATAAAATATCACAAATTCAAGGTTAGAGGAACAAGAAACTAGAAACAACTGTATCAGTTTAGGAAAGGCTAAACTACTAAACTACTCCCTTCTGTTTTTCTCTCATTTCTTTATATTTCTGGAGTTCTTATTCCCTATACCTCACAATTTAACCTCTTTCTACTCTGTGACTTGTGTTATCTTTGAAAATATTTAGAAATATATGGGTTTTTTCCCCAAAAAAAGTGAGTGCCCTGATCATGAGACTGAAGTGACCCAATCCCTGTGTAGCAAGGGCTTTATAAATGCTCATCTGCGGTGACGGTCACTATCTTAGTTATGTAGTGCTGCTATAGCAGAAATACCACATGTGGATGGCCTTAACAAACAAATTTATTTTCTCAGTTTGTTTGTTGTGTGTTGTTAGATGCCCTCAAGTCAGTTCTGAATCATGGTGACCCTATGTACAACAGAACAAAGCACTGCCTAGTCCTGCACCATCCTCACAATTGTTGCCATGCTTGATTCCATTGTGCAGCCACAGTTGAGGAGGCTTGTTGTTGTTGTTGTTATGTGCCATCAAGTCGTACCCAACTCATAGCGACCCCTCCTTGGGTTGCCGAGGCAGTATCACTATGGCAGTAAATTGTTCCATCTTCCTTCCGAGGAGTGGCTGGGGGGTTTGAACTGCCAGCCTTCTGGTTAGCAGTCAGGTGCCTTAGGCACTAAGCTACCAGAGCTCCTAGAAGAATGAATTCAGAGCACCACGTCAAGAGGGACAGTTCTTTTCTCTGTTGGCTCTGATGGAAGGTCCTTGTCTCTTTGAGCTTCTGCTCTTGGGCAGTTTTCATGTGGCTTAGCATGTCTCACCCCCATCTCTGCTTACTCACTTGTTGGTTTAATCTCTTTTATATCAAAAAAGATTGGTTTAAGACATGCCCTAACCTGATCCTCTCTCATTAACATAACAAAGACAGCCCATTCCCAACTGGGATTATAACCATAGGCATAGTTAGGATTTACAACATGTATTTTGAGGGGACATAATTCAATCCATAACAGTCATCAAAGTCTTTTTTAAAGTCCTAGTTTGCAAAAAAGGGGAAGATCCTCAGTGAGATGAATTGACACAGTGGCTGCAACAATGTGCTTAAGCATAGCAATGACTGCAGTGATTGTGAGGATGGCACAAGACTGGGCAGTATTTTGTTCTGCTGTACATGGGGTCACTGTGAGTGGAAACTGATTTGATAGCACCTTACAACAAGTTTACTCAGTATTGAGATAATATAATTGGCTTGCTAGAGTTGTTTGAAAAATGTCAGTAATAAAAAGTGCTTTGTTTGAATTATTTCCACAGCTGGTATAAAGCCAATTACAGCATGGCCGAGAAATTAGACTGGGGCCGAGGAATGGGCTGTGATTTTGTCAGAAAGAGCTGTAAATTCTGGATTGATCAACAGAGACAAAAGTAAGAATGCATTCCTTATGGTATATTTGATGACATAGTTCATTTCTGATTTTTTGCTTTACTCTGAGCCTAACATGTCAACTGTTTTTAAAATGTGCCCTGATTATTTCAGTTTATAAATATGTAGAAAACCATCTACAGGTGCTTGATAATCATGTCATAATTAAGTAACTGCAGTATTGTTTTTAATCACATAATAAAATAATCCAGAGCATAGGCATCAGTCATGAACATTTCTTTTTAGTTTATAATTCATAAATATGTATATTTTGCAAAATGTTTCCATACTGTGTCATTCTTACTGTTTTAATCAGATAGTGCGCACATAAGCACAGATGCAACAGTTGATTCAGTATCAGAGGAAAATAAAGGTACTTTTGAACAATGGTTCTCAACTATGGGTGCATACCAGAATCACCTAGAAAACTCTCTTAGAGCCTCTAAGTTTAAAATTATATATATATAATACATGTTTTATATGTATATATATTTGTTGTTGTTGTTATGTGCCGTCGAGTCAGGCCCGACTCATAGCAACCCCTCCTTGGGTTTCCAGGCAGTATCGCTATGGAAGTAGATTATCCCATCTTCCTTCCGAGGAGTGGCTGGTGGGTTTGAACTGCCAGCCTTCTGGTTAGCAGTCAAATGCCTTAGGCACTATGCTACCAGAGCTCCTATGCTCCTATATATATATGTACATGTACATATATATATATATATATATATATATATATATATACACATAAATATATTTACACGGGAGCTCTGGTAGCATAGTGGCTAAGGCACTTGACTGCTAACCAGAAGGCTGGCGGTTGAAACCCACCAGCCACTCCCTGGAAGGAAGATGGGGCAATCTACTTCCGTAGTGATACTGCCTCAGAAACCCAAGGAGGGGTCGCTGTGAGTCGGGTCTGACTCGACGGCACATAACAACAACAACAACAACATATATATACACACACACATACATATTTCCATGCATCACTTAATGTCCTCAATATGTTCTGTGAAATAGAACATTACAGTTGTGCGAACACCATACCATATTCTGGTCCTGCTTTTTCTTTAAGCATCTTGAACAAGTTTTATTCCAGTGATTGTCAGCATGCTGAGAGGGATTTGCTTTGTGTTTGGTCCTCAATCTATATCATTAGCAATCTCTCCATATCTGATATAGGTCCTATTGCATTTTTGTTAGCTTTGTAGCCTTCAGTAGAACCAACCTGTAAAAGGTACATGTAGGCAGCATCCTCTGACCTCTTCTAACTTCACAAGAGGAAGACAGAATCACCATCAGCAGCCCAAGATTTATTCCTATGAGGCCAGATGTGCTGCAGTGCTCCAACCTTTTACCAATTCTGTTACCAATCTTCCCTCCCACGGCACTCCACTGCTTTTCTACTGTGTTCAGTAATTCATTGCTGTGGCCACACAGAACTCACAGACAATACTCACAATGATGGGATTTATTAGGGAAGTAACAGGCTACAATTCAGGTCCAGGAATGTGCTCGGATATAATTTTTCAATCAGGACAGTCTCCCCTCTGCTATGCCCTCAGACACACCTTTTTGGCCCTTGGCCTCTTGGCCTGGCCTCTGACCTGCTTGGGTAAGTGTTATAAAGCCCTGTTAGATCTACTGATAGGTACATGTGAGTGCATCCCACTCCATCAGCAAGCCTTCTGCCCAAGGGCACTCAGCTTTCTGGCTCTGTGGGCCAGATAAGCCTATTGTTCTGTCTCTTGCCTCTTGGTTCCTCTGTGACCATCTCTCTGCCAGGCGTCTCTCTCTGCTAGGATGTCTCTCCCTGCTGGGGCGTGGCATCTCTCTGCTGAGAGTCTCTCTCTGCTGAGAGTCTTTCTCTGCTGGGTGTCTCTGCCAAGGAGGTCCAGTCCAGGGATTTGGGTCTAAGAACACACACTACTTCACCTGTGGCTCTTCTGTCTTGATGGAAATGAGATCGCCTCTCTTCCTCTAGGGGGGCTCTTTTTTTTTTTTTTTTTTAATTTGATTTGGGTGAAAATTTAGAGAGCAAATTCACTCTCCATACAGCAGTTCACATATACTTTGTCTCATGACATTGACCACAATTTACCACAATGCAACAGCTCCCCTCCCACTTCCAATAATTACCTCTTCCCTGTGTCCATCCCTCCATGCACTCCTGCCCCCTGAGCTGTCTCCCTGTGCATAAGCAGCCCTTCTTTCTCCCATGATTGTTCTCT